TGGAGAGTTGTGGAAAGCTGAAAATTGATAGGATTTATCCTCTCATGACCCAAATGCTTGCAACCAAATTTGAAAAAAAAATTGTTAAAAAATGTAGCCTGTAACACATTCACAAAGTTTTTTAGCAATGGGGGGATAACCCCAGAACAGATGGTGAATGTTGATATGGTTGGTCGACTCATGACCACATTGCTTCACACCAAATTTGAAAAGAATCTGTCAAAAATGAATATCGCGTTCACAAGTTTTTAGGGAAAGGGGGGGATAACTCCAGAACGGAATTTTGCTGAATGCTGAAAATTGATAGGGTTCATTCTCTCAATACCCCAATTTGAAAACAATCTGTTGGATACTATAGCTCCTATCGCATTCACAAAGTTTTCAGATGCGGGGGGCATAACTCTGGTACACAGGTTGCAGAACGTTGAATGAATGTCGATAGGGTTCGTCCTCGCATGACCACTTTTCCTTCACACCAAATTTGAAAAAAAATAATGTCGGTGGGGAGTCAAAAGGTCGTATGTGGCAAATTTTTCGAAATGCACTTTTTTGTTTTTTCAGAATCTGCGTTGCGTGGCGCATCTTTTGATCTAAGAGTCGTATATCTAGCCCAATAAAAACTATTCATATGGTCATGTGTTGATATCTCGTAACCCGATTCGATAAAAAAATGACATGTCAAAAAGTCGTATTTCGATGAAGCACTGCCATGTGACAAACAAGTTGCTTCCAGCAAAACAAAAACTACAGGTAATTATTGGTGAAAATCTATATAATACAGATTTCATGGTCCTTCTGAATTGCTGCTGAACTGGAGGGCGCCATTTATGCAGGTTTATACGGTGTATCATCGTCACCTTTCATCACAGATAAGTATGTTAGCGGTTAAATCGAAAAATATTCAATTTGTCACCCGATATGCGTTACAATATCCAACCTAACTATATTTTATAACTCTCAATGAAGTAATCTGGTATTAAAACGATTTTATCAACCTATAGCACAGTCCTAAAACGAAATTTATAGAAATACGACATTTTTCAGTTTATTTGTTCTATTCTAAATACGTTTTATACCGAAATACGATATTTTGTATTGACCATATAATACATTTTATGTAGCCTCTTGGGTCATCTGCATGGTATTTAACTACAATTTGTTTTGTTTCTGATTACAGAATAACAACACGTTCTTGGTTGATTATCTGAAGATCGAAATATGTCAACGGACAACATCCTTTCACGAGGAAAACGCCTGGTCCAACTATCACTAATTTCAAGCACATCTGTTTCGACGGTATCTGGGGCTCTTCGTGACACGGAAAACAGCAATGCATTAAATAGTACCCGTACATTTGACGATTTATCCAACCAACAAGTTCTAGAATGTGGTATTTCGGGTGACGAAGATTCTACAGATGATTTATCACCCCGACAAGCTGTAGGTTACGGTGTTTTGAGTGACGTGGAGTCTATAGATTCAGATGACTCGGGCAAAGATCCCAGTTTTGCGCCAAGGCAAAGGGACCTAAGACACGCCAATTTGAGCTCAGATGAGGATGATCTACTTTTTACACATTGTAGGAAAGTGAAACAAAGAAAAGAGGCTACGGAAACTACTGAACCTTATATTAGAAAATTATATGATTCAGGAACACAGAAAACGGATAACAACGTAAAGCTAATAACGTTTAGAAACGAAGAACACCTGGGCTTAAATGCATCTTCTAATAGTAAACTCCACGCACCCCGCAAAAGACACCACATAGATATAAACACAGAACCTCTACAAAGAAACATACAAGTCATGCCACCAGAAAATGAGATAAACATGGAACCCAACCTCATTCACAGCAACACAGAACACATGGCAGCACAACAGGATAACATCATAGAACTCCAAACAGTGGGTGATAAAGATACGTAACCTAATAATATGACACAACAGATTGACGAAAACATACAATATCCCACAGTAGAATTGGATAACAATGTCATAGATAATGAGGAGTTAGTTGTCACTAAACAAAGAGCAAAACCAGGAAGGGCTGAACCCGAAAAATGGTCAAGAAACACAAATAAACAGTTGAGAATGGAAGGAAAAGCCTACACGTGTGTTTCTAAACCTAGAAAGGGGAGAATGATTGAGCCACGAAAATGCACGGATCAATGCTTAAATCCGGTCACAACTAGAAAATTTCATATGATAACAGAGGAAGATCGACAGCAAATGTTCAGTCTTTTTTGGTCAATGACTTGGGATGAGAAGAAAATATGGGTGTCTAATATGATTGATAGACCCACTGTGCAATAACGAGGTACCATTGAACCAGATGAAGCCAACTACAGGAAGAAGTATTCATATTATTACTTTCTGAAAAGAGATGGTGAACGAGTTCCAGTTTGTAAACATTTATTTCTTTCTACTCTATGTATAGGAGAGAAATCTGTCTACAAGTGGATAGATATACTTAAATCCGACCCGTCGTCGGTAACACCCCGACGTACTAGGATCAAAAGAGACCCAATTGACAGAAAAAGTGAGGTTTATTTACATGTTGTAAATTTTCTTGAGAATCTAGCCAAACTTCCTTCGCATTACTGCAGATCAAGTACAAATAAATTGTATTTGGAACCCGTTTTTACAACCTTTATGAATCTTTATAAAGTATACAGCGAACACTGCCGTACTCAACATAAAAATATTATGAATCGCCACAGGTCGTTTAAATATATTTTTGATGAGATGAACATTTCGCTGTTTAAGCCTAAAAAAGACCAGTGTGATACATGTTGTTCGTTTCAGGCAGGTAACATTACTGAAGATGAATATAATATTCATATTGAAAAGAAAAACTCCGCCAGAGACGAAAAATCAAAAGACAAGGTTGCTGCGTCAACTGATGATTCCATGGCTGTGATAACTCTTGACTTGCAAGCCGTACTGTTAAGCCCACTTTTAAAGGCAAGCGCAATGTATTATAAAACAAAACTGGCATGCCACAATTTTACTATATTTAATCTGACCACCAAGGGTGTAACTTGCTATTTTTGGCATGAGGGGGACGGCGATCTGTCCGCTAATTCTTTCGCGTCCTGTGTAGTTGATTATATTTGTCATTTAGGTAGGAATATTAAGACACTTATTATATACAGTGACGGGTGTAATTATCAGAATAGAAACTGCACGCTATCTAATGCCCTGCTCAGAGTCGCTGTTCAGCAGAATATAACTATTTACCAAAAATACCTAGAAAAGGGTCATACCCAGATGGAGGCTGACAGTATCCACAGTACAATTGAACGCCAGCTGCGTAATAAACCCATCTATTGTCCACAGAACTACGTCAACTTCATTAAAGTTGCTCGAAATATTCCCACGCCCTATGATGTAAAATGTATCTCATATGATTTCTTTAAAGATTACAGTAAACTAAATTATACGTCCATTCGTCCTAGAATCAAAGTTGGAGAACCGGTCGTTACGGATCTACGTGTCTTAAAATATATCCCTGGCGACGACTGCCGCATTGAATATAAATTAATGTACGGAGAAGAATTTCAAGACTTTCCTAGACGTGCCAAAGTTAACTCCCCATCTAACGATGACATTGTCGAAAATGTGAACACCGGACCCTTGAAGATTAAATCCTCGAAGTACCGTCACCTTCAAGAATTAAAGGCTGTTCTGCCAGGATTTTATCATCCATTCTACGACAATTTATTACACGAGTAATTGCCTTTTTGGGCGTATCAAATATAAATTGTTCACGTATTATTATTCCATTTAAATCAATGTTACGGATTCGGCCATGCCATTTACTTGATCTCAATTTAGTACATCAGTACCTTGTTAAATTGTTTAGTCATAATCGCTTATATTCATTTGAATTGTGAAATTAGTTTTTCAGTTTTAAGGTTACAGTAAACGAAAGTATCATACGTCGATTAAAATATACCCCCGGCAACGATTACCGCATTGATGTACAGAGAAGAATTCCAAGACTTTCCTAGACGTGCCAAATTCGTGTTATTGTTTAATTTCCTATGATTGTTGTGTTTTTGTCAATATTTTCTGTCAATTAGACAGCATCAAATGTTAAATTTAAATTATGTATTACTTGTTAGATAATTAAAAGGTATATTAAAATTGTTTAACAAATTGTTATTTATTTATCTTATTAAACTGCAAAATAAGGTCCTGATTTAGATGTGGAGCCGCAGTGGCTCAGCCACTAAGAAGCTGGTTCGCTAGCCTGGAGGTCTCGGGTTTGCTCCTGGTCTTGGCCGAAAATGTTCCTCGGGTATTTTCGGTGTTATTTCCTTGGTACAGGTCGGGGGCCTAACAAGGACAGTGTCTAATCATTCCAAGGGGACAAGAAAATTAGCGTACACGTAAAATCAGCCTTGACTTTTGGAATTCGATATAAGTGTAGGTCGTAGGACAGCTTCCAGGGCAAAATTTTCTCATAGCACAATAAATGGCGTATGTTTGTCTTCATTAGCATGGTTGCTACAGAAAAGTAGGACGCCTAACCCCAAACCAATTAATTTCATTTCCTGATTTAAATGACAAAAGCTCGTACTTTTGGTTTGACGAGTTTTTTTTGTGGCGTCAAAAGCTCTTAAGTCGGCAGATGCAACTCGCAAAACGATGTCCTTTATGACGACAATATCAGATGATGCGCTGTGTTAACATGCAGTTTATATTAAAAGATGACCTTTCTACTGTCTTTAGCCGCAATTTTATGAAGTTTTTTGTCTCTCCTGAACAATTTTGAAAAACCGACATACGACCTTTTGACTCACCACCGACGATAAGTCAGAAACACAAAAAAGTGAAAACCATGGCCATGAATTTCATTACCAGGATTGATTAAAGAAATATCTCAGCACTCATTCTAAACTCGTCAACAAAGAGTAAGGAATTTTTAAATCAGAATTCAGATGACAATTGATATTAGATCATCATGTAATATTGATATATGTTTCTTATTATAGGATGGTGTTGGGTAGAAGTAATATAAGGTCTGTAGCTGAAAGTAGAAAAGTGGAAATTGAACAGTTTTTAGAATATTTATTGGTCAAGGCACCAGAAATTTCACAGGTATGCATATGATTTGTGAGAAAAAATTATTAATATAGACTTAACTTATTAATATAGACTGTTATTTCACAACATACCTGGCCAGAAAAAAAATAAAACAAAGAGACAATATTTATGGCTAATTTTTATACGCCCACATTGAAATGTGGTCGTATATTGTCGTCGCCCTCGTCCGTCCGTCGGACGACGGTCCGTCGGTCCGGCGTCCACAAGCTCTAGATTCTAAAGTTAATATCTGATTGACTTTAAATTTATACACAGTGTTTAAGGTCTTGAGACGAAGAAGCCTATTGATTTTCAGCGATTTCCGATAATTACTGCCAGAGTTACGGCCCTTGATCACTTCGAAAAATCTTGTGGACGCTCTAGAGGCCAAAGTTAATATCCAAATGACCTTAAATTTATACACAGTGTTTGAGGTCATGAGACGAAGAAGCCTATTGATTTTCAACAATTTCCGATAATTACTCCCAGAGTTATGGCCCTTTATCACTTCAAAAAATCTTGTGGACGCTCTAAAGGCCAAAGTTAATATCTGATTGACTTTAAATTTATACACAGTGGTTAAGGTCATGAGACGAAGAAGCCTATTGATTTTCAGCGATTTCCAATAATTACTGCCAAAGTTATGGCCCTTGATCACTTTGCAAAATCTTGTGACGCTCTAAAGACTAAAGTTATCATCCGATTGACTTCAGATTGATACACAGAGTTTAAGATCTTGAGACGAACAAGTATATTGATTTTCAATGAATTTTTATGACTTGAACAGTTAAATCCATGATATTAAAAGCTTTGCATACAAAACGTTAGCATGGGGCAGAACTTTATAAAAACCAAACAAATTCTAATAGTTTTCTGATAATTACTTCGTGAGTTGTTGCTCTTAATCAGATTTTAGTGTATTATAAATGTTTCATCACCGAAAAAAGTAAAAATATGCGACAACCCTTGTTGACTGCCCGGACGATTTAGTTGCTGTGGGCGTATGTTTCGTTGCCTGGCAACCTATCTTAACATATTATGTGATAAGACTTGCCATAAAAAACATAGTTCATCAGCAATCGATGTCTGACCACGTTTGGTTTCTAAGAATATAACCATTTGGATATTTTTTTTTTAAATGCTTGAAAAAATGATCGGCCTCCTGTAACAAAATTAGTTGATGTCCTTGGTCATATTAAAGTTTCAACCTTTGTCCTGTAACAAATACTTAATTATCTCAGTCAGGAACCATTATTTAATTACTTGCTTCTGAATGACGGAATAAACTCTCTGAGACGATTTTTGTTAACATCTGTACGCATGTGTAACACTTTGTTTTTGAACAATGTGCACTCTCCTACGCTATTTTTCAAAAGTCTGACTAGGAATATGGCAAATACAGTGAATAATATTCAGATGTCACTTGACTGTTCTGAGTGTATAACTACTACTCATCTTGATTATCGTTGATAAAAGACTGGATGACCTGGCGCCTGGTACGTTCGGGCATTTTTATGTGCGAACTCTTAGTTTTTTTTTACTGGCATGCGCACAGGTACTATTTCTTTTTCTTTTAACAAGTACCCAAATCGGGGATTTCGTGCGGAGGTAGTTCGGAGGTAAACAGTCTGTGAAGTACAACACTTGCCACTGTACCTGTGTATCGCTAATTATAAACCGAATTTTTCAGTACAAACTCAGTTGATTCACGCTCGATTTGCTACTAAACAAACCCATCGGTTTATTTTCTCAACAGTGTGACCCGAAGTGACCGCGGATTTATTGACCTTGTATGAACTTATCCATAGCTATATCCTTACACCGAGAGAAATTATCTAGTCTCGGTGAAAAGAACCATGGTCATCTGGTAGAAAATTACTTTTGTATTTTTTGGAACGGAAAACAGTGTTTTTAGAAGCAAACTAACCTGCCGCACATGAGGAAGTCATTATACTAATAATAAAAGGCGAGACCTCTTTTTGTGGCGCAGGCTTATCACTGAGTAGTAAACCGTCCACAAACAATAATATAGGAAGCCTAGTGACGAGTGTAGTTTAAGTAGACTATAGACTATAGGTTTGAGTCGAGATTACTCGCTTTCAGTTTACTCTGTTTTTGCGATAACCAATTATGTGAGAAATACCATACTGACATTCGGTTTTTAAAAGTTGTACGCGAACTAAATGCGTTTGTTAGATACTGACAGAGCAGCCCCGAGTCGAACAATCGCCGCCCGAGCTGTCTTCGTCAGCTAGTTTCACAATATCGTGCAATAGGTGTATTAATGTGATTTTTAGGTTTAACCCCGCAAACAATGCCAAAATAGTGTTTTCACTGCTTACAGAAAACTGAAATTTAAAAAAAAAATTTTTTATGAGGGTGACCCTCCCACACACTCCCTATCGAGCTGCCGCTCGGTCTGCGCAGCCTCATGCCTGGCACATACTGTCAACATTGTATATTTTTCCGTTTCCGCCCTTCCCCCCCACAATATATATTTCACGGCTACGTTGCGACGTTACCAGCATACCCAGTTGTTGACACCCATTACATCACTCCTGTCTAACAAATCATAAAGCTGTGGTGTTACGGTGGCGGCATAGTATTTCACCGTAACACCACAGCCACTCTAACCATTCATAATACATCTAACTATCCCTTTACAGCACTTCACTCCCTACACATTTCCCCTCGTTCTACTTTCACAAACGTCAACAATACATCTCATACATCCAGTTCGCTGATTAACCCTTGTACCACGTCTACTGGATTGATTAGGTAATTAAGTGATCAAAGTTTATATTGTATTATACAGTCTACGAGTTCTAAGCCTGAAAAGGATAGATCAATTTGGTTGAAACAAACTTTTGCCACCAACAAGTATAATCATTGAATGAATCATAGACAAGAACTGCAACTGTTATTATTGTTTTTGTACCAGACCATCTTCATGAGAAGGTTGAGCACATTATCGCCAACAAGTTAGGAGTGACAAAAGTTTCTGCAAGATGGGTGCCAAAGCTCTTGACTGCGGATCAGAAACATATCAGATTCCTGATGTCCTGTGACAATCTGCGCCATTTGAAGCAGATCATGATAATTTTTTGGCCAGATTTGTAACCATGGATGAAACCGGTTTCCAAAAGTGTTAAAGTAACTAGCTGGTCGTCATTTTCCTAGTAATGATGATGTCCCGTCAGCTGTAAACGACTTTTTTTAGGGTGGCTGATTGACTACCAGACCCGTCAACCCTTTAGAGCTGAAATGCAGTAGAGTAGTGTAAAAAATGCAGTAGAAACCATGATTTGGCAGTAGATTTCCAAAAACGCGTAAATTAGCACTTCCAAGGGTAATTAATTTAGATATGATACACTGAACTGCAGGCCCAACAATACAAAAATTGCATTAAATGGGTAATAGATAAAATATACACAAGCAATGGTACCATATCTTAAATTATTTATGTAATTAAACCAAAATTGAATATGTAGCCTACAGAAAGAAATAATTAGTTACGTAAAAAAATTTAAAAAAACCACAGCACAAGCGGTGTCGTGCGATTTCGACCAAACTTTGCAGAGTTGGTCTTTGGGTACCCTGGATACCCCACATGTAATATAAGACTCACCAACCTTGTAGTTACAGAGAACAAGCTATGGTCATTTTAGGGTTAAAAAAAAGCCATTTTTTAAAAAAAATAACCCCTAAATTCAAATATTTCTCATAAATTGCCTATTGTTTTTTTTATTTTTTTTAAATTATTTATTTTATGAATGATGTTGTCTACTACTTCAATATATATGACTATTAAATTTTTCCTATACCATTGGAGGCTATGAGGAATTTGTTTTGAGACGTGGTTTTTGCTATATGCTAAAACATATAAATCTCATGATGCTATATCTCACCCACTGCAGGGCTGAGGACAATTCTATTAATAAAGGAAGTTGAGGACTACTAATACTAATATTTGGTTTTGACAAAATGGCTGGCACGGATTTCTTTCATATTAAATTTGATGGTCGAACTTGAAGAAAATGACTTGATTTTTGACATCATTTTTCCAATAAAATCATTCATTGCCTGGATTATTAGGCCTGATAATGCCCCATGCAACCACCTTCCAGCAACCAAGTGTAGGGCCGGTACAGATGATTCAGGAGTTCCACAAGGATTAGTCCTTGGACCTGTCCTTTCTGTAATGTAATACTAAGAATTTAGGACAACTAATTGATAATCATGGTTTCTAGGACAATATTCTTATGCAGATGATCGCAAATTACTCCCTTTCAAAAACTGTTCTATCCCCTAATTATTCTGACATCAAATTGTGTACACAAGAAATATGTTGAAATTAAATGTAATTGAATTAAGTAAATCAGAATGTATTTTATTTAGTCCACATACATATCTGAAAAATAAAAGTTCAAATGATGTAGTTGTGCGAGATGCAATAGTTGTACCATGAGACACTGTGAAGAACTTAGGTGTCCTCTTAGGGTCCACAACCTTCGTATTACAGTGATATAGTTGAACATTTTTTTAAATCGGATAATAATTGTGACCTCCATAATTCAGGAAGTTACGATCCTGAATATCGGAAGGAACCAAGATCTTTGGGTTATAAACATGTATTTCAAGTTTCATCAAAATAGGATCAAAATTGTGTCTCTACAGGGTACACAAACAAGATTTACCATATATTTACACTATTTGCGTACGAGGGTCGGCCATTTTTTCCGGCAGTTTTAGTCCGATTTGAACTCCACCTTCATTAAGGTGTAACGGGGATATATTCAAACAGTTTTTTTTTAAATCAGATAAAAATTGTTACCTCTAGAGGGACCACAAACTAAAAACTCGATTTTCATACAATCAAGGGCCATAATTAAAGAAGTTACCATTCGATATGCGCGAATAGTCAAAGGAACCATATTTGCGTACCAGGGGGCAGTTTCACAAAGCAACTTACGATGAAAAATTTGCGTAAGTTTATCGTAACGTAAACTTACGTA